TGAAATACCCGGACAGACACATACATACATATATACACACACACATACACACACGCACACCGGGGTCGTCGCAATATGCGTTTTCGCATTTGCATATATGCACAACCGCATAAAAACAGGATGGTTTTTGAATCGGAAATGGAAAAGTTAATTTACATATTATTCCTCTACAAGTGAGCGAAGATGGTAGCATGCAGCAAAACATGAACAGAGATGCGGAAATAAGCACAATATCAGTCCAGGGGGCAAATTCCAGGGAATTCAAGACTAAACCTCAAGAAATAAAATTACAAGCTATAATCACACTTAGAACTCTTCGTATGCAGAAGTTCAAAAGATTACATGCATCTGAATAAAGAGTAAGATTAAAAATAAATTTCTCCACAGTCGGCTCTGGCATGATAGGCGAAGCACTCCGAGGCACCCAAGCGCAACCCAGCACCAATTACGCGTTGGCATGGCTATCGCAGTTCTCTCTTCCAGTAGCAAGCTGGACTTAAAAAAAAAATTCAAAAAGTAAAAAAGGTTATCGAGAAAAAAATAAGTAAAAAATACTTCTGTCCATTCCTTCTCACTCATTGCTTTTTCTAACTTTCTAGCTTTCGCACGCAAATCTGCAGTTGCCAGCTTTCCATGCAATTCACCAAGCGACGCCATTCCTTCATGCTTTTCTCGACCATAAGCATTTTCTAATGCCTCCACCATTGAAACATTTTCACCACGTACAGATCGAAAATCTGTATTTGCCTGAAAACACTTCCACTGATGCAAAATGATGAGACTACAATCTCAGTCTTCCGCAGTTTCGTTAGAAATTTGTAACAAAGATTTTGCGATGCAACACCAGAACTTCCCATTATGAACAAGATTTTCACTTCACCATTTTGAAGAACTCGTCTCGATCAAAAATGATACTCAATGAGATTTATTCTAATTATAAAACTACCTTTTGCGTCAAACCTGCGGTAGATTCACTGCCAATATAATGCCCCAACGACCCATCATCTTCTGCAAATAGTAAAAGTTCAGTTTTAAAGAACAT